TCTTCATCACCCCCCACAAGTAGTACAGTGTCACCATGGTGACACTGTACTGCTAGGGTGACAGTATGTAAAAATAAATAAATAAATAAAAAAATAATATAAACAATGTAATAAAAATGTTTAAAAATTATAATTTTGGTTATAAACTAATTTGGAATATTTGTTTTTTACTAAAAATATAACGGAATAAATTTTGGCCAAGATTTATGATGAAATACTATTTATTTGCAAAATTTGCAAGAAAAACACTTTTTTCCAAACTTTTTGGACTTTTTAATTTACATAGCAAAAAAAATAAAAATCCCAGTGGTGAATAAATACCACCAAAATAAAGCTTTATCTGTCTCAAAAAAATGCTAAAAAATTCATATGGGTACAGTGTTGCATGACCGCGCAATTGCCATTCAAAGTGTGATAGCGCTGAAAGCTGAACATTGGCCTGGATAGGAAGGGGGTAAAAGTGGCCGGTCTGGAAGTGGTTAAACACGTCCAGTTAAAAAATTAAAAAAATCTAATTTCATCATAAATTTAGGCCAAAATGTATTCTACATGTCTGTGTTAAAAAAAAATCCCAATACGTATAAATTAATTGGTTTACGTGACAGTCATAGCGTCTACAAATGGCGGTATAGATACTGGAATTTTTTTTTTACTAGTAATGGCGGCGATCAGCTATTTATAGTGGGACTGCAGCGGGCATTCTTCCTTTTTTTTTTTATCATCTTTTATTGAATTGAATTTTATTTTGATACAAAAATCACAATTATATAATTTATCATAACATCTTTATCCTCTCCTATCCTCCCCCCCTCCTTCCGCACCCACCTATTGGCTACCCCGTCCACCTCATTTTTACTATTCCTATCTTAACCTGTCTAGTAATGGCAGCAATCAGCAACTTATAGCGGGACTGCGGCGGGCATTCTGACACTGGGGGGAATTGACTAACTGCCACTGACATCCCAAGTGACACCAATACAGTGATCAGTGCTAATACAAAGTACTGATACTGTACTAATGGTACTGGGCAGGAAGGGGTTAACATGCAGGGCGATCAAAGGGTTAACTGTGTGTGCTGTGTGTGTTTTTCACTGTACGCACACTGCTTTGTATGGCTCTGCTATGCAGAGCCATACAAAGCAGTGTGCAGGAGCTGACAGGGGAGATAACTGTATTGTTTACATACAGGTCTCTCCCCTGTTGGAAATCCTCGGATATTGCTGGGTGCCACCGGCGAATCACCAGCCAGGACCTGGTGATTGACAACTGGGGCCGCGAACGGCGGAACTGCAAAATCACGTATATATAGGTGATTTTGCGCACCCGTGCTGTCCTGTAGCAGTATTTCTGCTATAGGGCGGCGCGGAAGCGGTCAATCAGCCACAGAACCTGTGTAATTAACCACTTGCCGACCGCGCATAGCCGAATGACGGCTGCACCGCGGCCGGCTAGTTCTGGGTGGACGTCATATGACGTCCTCCCAGAACGCGCTCTCCTGCGCGCCCCAGGGGGCGCGCACCCGGCGATCTCCGTGATCGCTGTGTCCTACGGACACAGCTGATCATGAGATGTGGTGAAAGGCCGATCCCACCGGCCTTTTACCACGTGATCAGCGGTGTCCAATGACACGCTGATCACAGGAAAATGCAAGTGCCGGTTCTCGGCTGCACTTTCCTCACGCTGTCAGATCGTGAGGAAAGTACTGCTGAGAACCGGCAGTTGTCAGAGCGGGGATCGGCACCGATCATCAGGGCACTGATGATCAGTGCCCTGATGATCGGTGCCCAGCAGTGACCCCCGCAAGTTCCTCCCAGCAGTGCGCCCACTAGCCCCGCCCACACCGTGCCCAGCAGTGCCCCCACCTGTGCCCAGCAGTGCCCCCACCTGTGCCACTCTGCAGTGCCACCTACCTGTGCCCAGAAGTGCCACCTACATGTGCCAGCAGTGCCACCCACCTGTGCCCACCCACCTGTGCCCACCAGTGCCACCCACCTGTGCCCACCAGTGCCACCCACCTGTGCCCACCCACCAGTGGTGCCCACCAGTGCCGCCCACCAGTGCAGCCCAGCAGTGCTGCCAGTCAGTGCCACCAGTCAGTGCCCAGGGGTTGTGCCAGTCAGTGCCGCCAGTCAGTGCCCAGAAGTGATGCCAGTCAGTGCCGTCTATCAGTACCCATAATCAGTGTCACCTATCAGTGCCGCCTATCAGTGCTGCATATCAGTGCCGCCTATCCGTGCCACCTCATTAGTACTGCCTATCAGTGCCCTTTAGTGCTGCCTATCAGTGCCCATCAGTGCCGCCTATCAGTGCCCATCAGTGCCACCTCATCAACGCAAATCAGTGAAGAAGAAAAAATACCTGTTTGAAAAATTTTATAAAAGAAACAAATAAACTTTTTTTTTTTTTTCAAATTTTTTGCACTTTTTTAAATTTATAGCGCAAAAAGTAAAGCGCCCAGTGGCGATTAAATACCACCAAAAGAAAGCTCTATTTGTGAGAAAAAAATGATCAAAATTTCATATGGGTACAATGTTGCATGACGGCGCAATTGTCAATCAAAGTGCGGCAGCGCTGAAAGCTGAAAATTGGCCTGGTAAGGAAGGGGGTATAAGTGCCCGGTAGGCAAGTGGTTAATACATGTTTGGTTTTAAAGGGATGAGTTGACTACCCTATTGTGGCCTGTCCCAATGCTGGGAGCATCCATTCTTATGTCATTGGGCAGGTTCTGGGAATGGAGGAGTGGGGGGAGTACCCGGATTCAAAATATTATTTGTGATATTCCTTTGCCTCCCATTCTATGTCACCTCCTGTGCTGCTCTGGTACTGACACCCCGGTCGCACTGGGTGTGACTTGACATGCAATTCACATGCCATGCGACTTGCAAATCATATGCCAAGTCACACGCTAATGTCCGCAATTACAGCGGTCATATCAGTGCGGTTCAGACTTGGCTGGAGGCACACCAATCTCTAAAGTAGTACATGCACTACTTTTGGTGCAATTTGCATAGACATCTGTGTTAGATGTCTTGCAAATCGCACCTGAAATCGGCATGTCCCCCGACTTTGAAATCGTGCGACTTACAGTGAAGTTGCATGATTTCAAAGTTGGGGTTGATGTGACCGGGGGGTAAGGGGGAGATTTACATAAACTGAAGCACTCAGAATCTGGGGAAGCTGTGCATGGTGGCCAATCAGCTTCTGACTTCAGCTCGTTCAGTTAAGCTCTGACGATAAAACCTGGAAGCTGATTGGTTTGTATGCTGAGCTGTGCCAGATTTTGCAAACTCCAGTTTTAGTAAATCAGTCACCAAGCTCCAGTGTACACTGGTTCAGCTTTGAAACCACGCTACTACAGTGCGATTTCAAAGTGCCATATCAGTGCGATTTGCACTGCTGATTTAATTGCGGCTTTCGACTTTATGTAACAGAAGTCTATTGAAGTTGCAATGAAACAAAAAGTAGTGCAGGAACCTTTTTATAATTGCTGTGACATGAGTCGGTTTTGTTGCTGACAATAGGATGCAACTTGTCATGCGATTTAGATCTGTCAAAACGCATGACAATTAGCACCGGTGTAGTGGTTGTAAAGGCTCAAGATTTTTTACCTTCATGCATTCTGTGTGCAGCATAACTCCCAGCCCCCTCAATACATACCTGAGCCCCATCGTGATCCATCGATGTGAACAACAGCCTTGGCCTCCTCATTGGCTGAGACAGCAAGCGGGAGCCATTGTCAATCACAGCCAGTCAGCCATTGAGGAGAGAAAGGGGGTGTGGCCAAGCCACGGCACTGTGTGTGAATGGATGGCTTGGTAACACGGCTGCTCGGGTGCCCCCATAACAAGCTGCTTGCTATGGGGGCACCCTACAGAAAGGAGGAGCCAGGAGAATGATCCAGGCTGCTCTGTGCAAAACCACTGCACACAGCAGGTAAGTACAGACGTGTTTGTTACTTCCCCCCACCAAAAAAAAAAAAAAGCAAACCTTTAGTATCTAAGTGTGCATGCAGCTTGTTATTGTTCTTGATGTGCAAATGTTTCTTTTACACCAATGTTTCTCAACTTTTTGTCAGTCAAGGCACCCTTTAAAATTCAGCACAACCTTGTGGCACCCCATTCTAAAATGTAAAAACTAAACTAATAGTTGTACATAACGCAGCAACAACCACACATGTAGGACAACCAACATTACAGGTGATTTATTCTTCCAAAGCAAATACATCTTTGCACACTGGTACTGACTAGTACACCAGTGTTTCTCTTCTCCCTCACTCATCTAATGGGACCCCAGTGTTGATGGAGGGGGGCAAACAAGGATGCTATACAGGGGCTTGACATCCTCCTTATCAAATGATGACATCATTGGTTGTCAGGACGCTGGCGGCTGGAAAGTTGTAATGGTGCACAATGAAAACCTGTGGCTTTGTGTAACTAATGCGCAGATTTGGTCCATCCGCTGGCTTGTATAAAAGTTTTGGGCAATTAGGCATCCTGGCAATAAACCTCTGAAGAAGCCTGAAGGCACCCTGGTTGAAAAAGATTGGTTTAAACTGATCAAATGTACCATTTTCAGAAAAAAAAGGGAGCTGTGTGATAAGTTGAATAGCGCACCACACATCCCCCTACCACAGTTGGACCCTGTATTCACTATATCTGGTCTCCCCGGACCCAGCATTCATTATATCTGGACTTCCAGGACCCTGCATCCACTATATCTGGTCTCCCCGGACCCCGCATTCACTATATCTGGTCTCCCAGGACCCTGCATCTACTATATCTGGTCTCCCAGGACCCAGCGTTCACTATATCTGGTCTCCCAGGACCCAGCGTTCACTATATCTGGTCTCCCAGGACCCTGCGTTCACTATATCTGGTCTCCCAGGACCCAGCGTTCACTATATCTGGTCTCCCGGGACCATGCATCCACTATATCTGGTCTCCCCGGACCCTGCATTCACTGTATCTGGTCTTCCAGGACCATACATCCACTATATTTGGTCTCCCCGGACCCTGCATCCACTATATCTGGTCTCCTAGAACCATACATCCACTATATCTGGTCTCCCTGGACCCTGCATCCACTATATCTGGTCTCCCAGGACCCTGCATTCACTATATCTGGTCTCCCAGGACCATGCGTTCACTATATCTGGTCTCCGGGACCATGCATCCACTATATCTGGTCTCCCAGGACCATACATCCACTGTATCTGGTCTCCCCGGACCCTGCATTCACTATATCTTGTCTCCCAGGACCATACATCCACTATATCTGGTGTCCCCGGACCCTGCATTCACTATATCTGGTCTCCCAGGACCATACATCCACTATATCTGGTCTCCCAGGACCCTGCATTCACTATATCTGGTCTCCCCCGGACCCTACATTCACTATATCTGGTCTCCAGGACCATACATCCACTATATCTGGTCTCCCCGGACCCTGCATCCACTATATCCGGTCTCCCAGGACCATACATCCACTATATCTGGTCTCCCCCGGACCCTGCATCCACTATATCCGGTCTCCCCGGACCCTGCATTCACTATATCTGGTCTCCCCGGACCCTGTATTCACTATATCTGGTCTCCCAGGACCATACATCCACTATATCTGGTCTCCCCGGACCCTGCATCCACTATATCTGGTCTCCCAGGACCCTGCATTCACTATATCTGGTCTCCCCGGACCCTGTATTCACTAAATCTGGTCTCCCAGGACCCTGCATTCACTATATCTGGTCTCCCCGGACCCTGCATTCACTATATCCGGTCTCCGGTCTCCCCGGACCCTGCATTCACTATATCTGGTCTCCCAGGATCCTGCATTCACTATATCTGGTCTCCCCGGACCCTGCATTCACTATATCTGGTCTCCCCGGACCCTGCATTCACTATATCTGGTCTCCCCGGACCTTGCATTCACTATATCTGGTCTCCCTCCCGGACCCTGCATTCACTATATCTGGTCTCCCCGGACCCTGCATTCACTATATCTGGTCTCCCCGGACCCTGCATTCACTATATCTGGTCTCCCAGGACTCTGCATTCACTATATCTGGTCTCCCACAGTACAAAGAACATGGAAGTGCAATTATTTTAGTAAACACAGACTGCAAAATACATTTTCTCATCAGCATTTAGAGCAGTCATGTGACTTCTATCAGTTACCAGCAGAGCACTGGTTAAAGCTTGTAGGAGGCGTTTTCTTTCTGCTCCAGGAGGATGCAGAACCCCTGACCTCTGTCTGGACAGTGCTGATTGGCCCTGTGCTGATCAAATGCACTCTCTCAAGAGAGAAAAAAAAAGCCTCTCTAGCAATACACACCAAACTGAGCATGTGCAGAGTGTCTCCATATGATATGTCTTATCAGGAGATAAGAGGGGGGCACTGGAAGAAGGGGAAGATCAGAGAAGTCAGGATCAAACAGTGTTTTTTACACAATGCAGAGGATTAACCCCTTTAGTTCCACAGTGAGTATAACAAGCACGCTTTAGAGCCCATTCACACTTATGTGACTTGTTATGTGACTTTGGGGCCCAAAGTCGCATGACAAGTCGAACCCCATGTTTCCCAATGAGTACCATACCCGTGCGACTTCAAGTCTCAGCGACTTGAAAGTAGTTCATACACTACTTAGGTCCGACTTTCATGTTACTTGGGGGATATAGACTTCAATGTACCCCCCCCCAAAGTTGCATGAAAGTCGCACCTGAACGTTATACATGTGACTTGTGTACAGCACAAACAATCGCCCTTGGTCAAAGCCAAAGTCGCACTCGCATCAAAGCAATACCAAAGTCGCAATGAAAATCGCATGATTTTGAAGTTGCACAAGTGTCAATGGAGCCTTACTGCATATATAGACTGATTTTACTGTTGTGGGTTTAGTAACACTTTAAGACAGTGGTCTCCAAACTGCGGTCCGGGGGCCAGATGCGGCCTTCTGCTTTTATCCGGCCCTTGGGCCACTTTGCGCCCCACTGCCAGCAACAATGGAGCTTAGTTCTTGTCCTTGACACCTACAATGGGGCACTATTACTCCCCCAAATACCAAAAAGAGGACAATGTTCACTCCCACTGACACCAAAAAGAGGACAATGTTCACTCCCACTGACACCAAAAAGAGGACAATGTTCACTCCCACTGACACCAAAAAGAGGACAATGTTTACTCCCACTGACACCAAAAAGAGGACAATGTTCACTCCCACTGACACCAAAAAGAGGACAATGTTCACTCCCACTGACACCAAAAAGAGGACAATGTTCACTCCCACTGACACCAAAAAGAGGACAATGTTTACTCCCACTGACACCAAAAAGAGGACAATGTTTACTCCCACTGACACCAAAAAGAGGACAATGTTTACTCCCACTGACACCAAGACATTTTCTATTCCCACTGGCCACAGTCCGGCCCTCCTAAAGCTTGAAGGACAGTAAACTGGCCCTTTGTTTAGGAAGTTTGGAGACCCCTGCTTTCAGAACACATCTACTCCATTTCCAGAGATGATTATATCCTTCAATATATAATCTAAAGACATTTTTTTCCAATACCACTTGAGGCCAAAAAATATCCTCTACTTGCGTATTATTGTTCGATTGAGGTGAGTTTAAACCTGATTGCAAAAGACAAGTTGGTGGAGTAAATTCAATCTGAAAACTAGAAAAGCTACAATTCCTGCAGAAATTGTGTGAAGTGTTCTTGCCTGCAGCAGTAGTCTAGGGCTTGAAAATGAGGGAGTGATGGCAGTTTAGAAATCATGTCCTGATTTTTCAGCTCACACTCTAGCTTTTGTCACTCTGCTGCCTTCTCACACACCTGGGTTCCTATAGCAACTCACTCTACACAGCAAGGGCAGAGAAGAGCGGTTAAAAACAAACTGCTCCAACTTGCTCACTTCACTGGCAGTTGCCATTTTCAAACGGTTGTAGTTTAAAAATTATAAATCCTACAGTGAAGAGCGTTATATTGTGAGAATCACAAGACCCAGACCTACATTTTGATGCATAGTATGTCTCTGAAATATTAAAAATGAAGGCACAGTCGCAGTTTAGAACTTGCCCTTCAAGTTTGAGGTGGCTAGAGTGGAGTTTCAATGAATGTCAACGGGCGGTGTGAGTTGCAAACAAATGGTCATATTGTGAAAACTATCAGGACTATGGCTTAGCCGTGAACATTTTTAGTGGCAGCAGGGATAGCTGAACGTTTTGATATAAGATTTGTGTAGGTGGGCTTGATAATGAGAGAGTGATGGCAGTTTAGAAATCATGTCCTGATTTGTCAGCTCCCACTCTAGTTTTGAACATTCCGCCATTCATTCCTATGGGACATGAATGGCGGAACAATCCGCACGTGTCGATATGTTGCTGTCTATGTAGTGTAAAAACTGTGGGAGGAGTTAGGGTGGTAAATTTGGCTATAATAATAAGAATATATATGTGAGATAACAGGAAGTGGTCTTCCATGCAGGAACACTTAATGAATAAGACCTAGGAGTTTTGTAGTTAACAGCAAGATAGCAGCCACCCCTGTTCTCAGTGGTGTTTTAGCTCTTGTGCTGCCCTAGGCATCACTAAAATTGGGCATCCCCCACCAGAACCAGCAGACCCCTGGCCCACCCCCACGTGCCCATAACCACCGCCAGCGCCAAATACCCAACCCTTGCCACTCTCCACGAACCCAACAACCATCTTCCCCCCCCCCCGGGCCTCACCATCACTCTCTGCCAAACACGTTCCACCAGCAGAGAGAGAAAGAGTTAGTCAAACACTAACCTTAACCTCTCATGAAAGCAGCCGGCCATCCCCGGAGCCAAGCCCAGTGTCTTCCTTCCTTGTGCGGGAAGCTTACACCCTCCAGCAGCACACAGCCTCCTCAGATTCCATGGTCCCCATCCTTACCAGGTCCCCATCCCTGCCACACGTGTTGCATCTTCCGGGGGGTGGTGCCGCCCCTCTGAAATTTGCCGCCCTAGGCAAATGCCTTGTTTGCCTTGTGGTAAATACGCCACTGCCTGTTCTTCCAACTATTGCTGAGTCCACCAACCAGATCTTCCAGGGGCAGAGAGCTCCCTGAAGCCATCTGGCAATGCCCCATTCACGTTTCAGTGTTTTTAGTTGAGGGTAAAGCCAGATGTTGTGCAAGTACAGCCAAGCGGGGTGAAATACCGTCGAGTGTTGTACAGGTGCAGCCGGAGTTGTACAAGTTCCAAGAGTTGGGCATGAGCAATCAGAAAATAGCAGTCTTCAAATTTTTTCAAGTTCTACAGTTCCAGAGTATCCCATGCTACCTATTCCCATCCAAGTTCACCATTCCCCACTAAAAACCATAAAAGTAGACCAATTCTTCAGCCAGAGAAAGACTGCCGAAAATGGAGGTAAAAGGCCTAAAGTATCAGCGGCTCTTATGGGGGTGCGCATCAGGGCTGAGGGCTCTTGAGAGGCGTACTGAGGCAGGGTGCTGTGATGTTTTCAGGAATCTATTTACAGCATCCTGCTGACCCCTCCCATCTTTCATGGTCTGTCTGCATTGCATGGAGAAGCACAGAGGCAGTGATAATATCTCCAGGTCTAAAATAACAAATGCAATAAAACAGGAAAGGTTTTGAACATTTCATTAATTCAGGAGGGATGAAGGGAGGAACCAGGGATGCCAGAATTTAAGCAGATTAAACTATAGTTTTACTTATTAATAGCTACTGACTGCATGTATTAATTAGCCTATGAAATATGACTTTGAAAATATGAAATAACATGCATATAAACAAACGTCTCTAACTTTAGAATAGTCTAATTTTAAGTTTTGGGAATGGCAAAATACAGTCAGCTAATAGCTATAGAAGTGCATTTTTTTTTTTTAATTTCAGAATTGCTGAGAGAGTTTGGTCTCTGGTTTGCCAAGGAAAGGTCTTAGCAATTCCTCTGGGGACAGCACAGATTGATTTATGATATCAACAAGCTGTTTGGAGAAAATTGAAGTCTGTATGGTTCAGTCATGGTCCTTATTTATCTTCATTATACCTCGTCCGAGCGGACATTTGATACAGCGGCTTGCTTCCTGGTTAATTGATTGCAGAATTTAAGAATCACTTTGCCGTGGCATTTTCTTTATGTACAGCTTAGGCTTGAGCGCTAAACATATATTATGAAATGGGGAAGAAAATGAAAAGGTATGTAAGGTATTTGTATGCACGCATCTGCGAGATGCACGAGCTCCATTCACATTCATCTATGTTAAGTGCAACTTATACTGTAGCTGCATGGCTGTGTTTTAGCAAATCACAAACTATTGCAGGGACCTGGACATATCCATTATAAATAAATGATCATATTAGATGGTTTTATCTATATGGTGAAACCGTTTGGTTTCCATTGTCATGTAGCACTACCCCCTTAGGAGTTGCTGAAGTTTTGGGTCTCCTTCTTGGGGAGCTAGCCAGCATCTGCTGTTGTACCACCCCAGACCCCAGATTGTCCTAATCTAGCTGGGAGAATACCTGGCAAAGGGATTCAGTGCTTGCCACTTTAAAAGAAGACAGCCCTCGGGTAGTCGCTAATCTGGTTTCCCACTAGAGTGCTCCTTCCCCTATCTGGCCCAGGGGGTGAAGGTCTACTCATTCAGTCCTTCTCCTGTGTTGCTGGTGGGTCAGTGGCTGTTACCAGGCCTTCTAGCTGGGCTGCTCCTTCCTTGCCTCACAGGTGGTCCTCTCTCAAGGGGCTGGTGAAGTCCCAAGCTTTCCTCCTTCCAAGGTCATCTTGCCTGGAGGTGGGACTCTCTCCCATCTAGGGTCCCCCCAAGGCTCGTGCTCTCCAGCTTCACATGCTCCTCTCCCACCCAAACTCTCTTCCAACTCTCCTCCTACTGAGCAGAGTCAGTTACTCTTAAAGGCTGTCCTGGCCCCTTGCCAAGCCTCCTGTTGGGGATTGGCAAAGATCCTCTAAGAGTAAAGACCAGCCACTCCTCACCTCTGCCCACTGCTGCTAGATCTTTCTAGTTCTAGAGCAGGGGGAAACCCCAGAGAGCTGGTCTGCAGATCCTCTCAGCTCTGGCCAAAATTTGACCTTCTGACTATTGCACCCAGGATGCTACTCAGTCTCAATCTAGCTAGAGCTCCCCCTCTAACTAGGAGGGTGCTACAGTAATATGAACATTAGTTTATAGGTGATGTTGAACAAGACAAAAGGTTTGTGCATGTGGAACAAGGAATATCTTCCAATCTGTCCATAGAAACCGATCAGAATCTGTATTAACCATTTAAATTTAATGGTAGAGATGGCAGTTAAAAACTTAAAATGTATCTAAATCCAAAAGCATAAATGTATTATATTGCAGCTTACTGTGGTGGTTGCATTTGTTTTTCCCTTTGCTTTCACCTGGAGATTCTGCCAGTAAGACTGTTATTTTTTTAACTTCTTTTATCAGACCAAGCTGTCCAGACAAAGTGGTAGTTAGAAGGTTGGGGCAAACCAATTTACACTGACAAGGATACGTAGAATGGTCAGCTATGATTCTTTTACATAAGACCTTTATTGCAAAAGGAAAAAAAAAGAAAACTGTAACTGCTTTAAGTGCTAAATGAAGTTCAACTTTAACTTGTCAATCAAGTTCATCTAAATTTGCTAATACATCTAACACACAGAGTAGCCATACATAAGTCAATCAGTAGATCGACTTCTGTGCAACCACAGTGCCCACACATGGATCGAAATTCAGCTGGTCTCTGCTGAACTGGCCGATCCACATATGTGTAGATTTACCTCTTCACAGACTGACAGTGCTGCTGTGCAAGGGAGTTTCTCCTCCATCCAGAATGGAGACACCTTAAAGAGTAACTCAACTTTCATGAAAAAAAAAAATGTAACAAATTGAAAAAATTCAAATGCAATCTGGCATCCTGAAGATATTCTGTGCACCATTGGTGGACAGGAAAGTCCCAGAAATTTCATTTCCTGCTTGTGTAATTGGTTCACTGATTTTCCCGGAATTCTGCACTAAGAGACAAGTCAGATTTTTGACACCCCTGCAATAGAAATTTTAGTTTTGGTGAGATATTCTACGGTGAAATACTTCTAAAGGGATACAGACACTGTAGCTTTTCTCATTAGATCACTGAAAGTGTATCATCTGATCTTAATGATAAACAATAAAAATCCAGGACATAATAATATAGTCCTCATGTGTAACCAGTTAGTAGTAAAAATTTGAAACAATGTTACAACCACAATAAAATAATCCTCATGTAAAAGACCTTCTCAATATCCACATATTTTGATCAGTCCCATCCGAGTGCACAAAACTGGTACTTATGACAACACCACTTTGTGAGATAGCACCACCATCAGCCTCTGATATGTAAGACCTGATACACTTCGGTCTGATTGCCCCTTTAGCCCTTTAGTCCCTGGGTTATGGGCATGGTCTTTCTGATGGGGTAGGATAGCGCACTAGATTTGTGAGTGTGTTTTTTTAATATTTTAACCATTTCCCACCCGCCATATAAGGAAATGATGGACGGACAGCGGTTCTCTCGTCCTCCCACTCTGGGGGCACGCAGCACGGAGATCGGTGGTGTGCTGTGTCCCTGGGACACAGCGGATCACCGATCAGAGTAAAGAGCCGATGACACAGGTGTACAGTCACAGCTGATCGCATGTAAACAAGGAAATGCCAGTTATCGGCAGTCCTCTGTTCACGCTGACAGCAGAGGGGACATCTACACTGATCATCAGGGCACTGATGATCAGTGCCCTGATGATCAATGTAGTCCCATAAGTGCCACCTGCCAGTGCCCATCAATGCCACCTGTCAGTGTCCATCAGTGCCACATACCAGTGCCCATCAGTGCACATCAATGCCACCTGTCAGTGCCCATCAATGCCACATACTAGTTCCTATCAGTGCACATCAATGCCACATATCAGTGCCTACCAGTGCACATGAATGCCACATATCTGTGTCCATCAGAGCTGTCTTTCAGTGTCAACTATCAGTGCTAGCCAGTGTTGCCTATCAGTGCCAGTCAATGCCACCTATCAGTGCCACCTATCAGTGCCATATATGAGTGCTGCCTTTCAGTGCCCATCAGTGATGCCCATCAATGCCCACAAGTGATGCTTGTCAATGCCTGTCAATGCCCATCAGTGCCACCTACCAGTGCTTCCTCATCAGTGCCTCCTCATCAGTGCCCATCAATGCAGCCTATCAGTGCCCATCACTGCAGCCTCATTAGCACACATCAGTGAAGGAGAAAAATTACTTATTTACAAAAGGAAAAAACTTTTTTCCCCCAAAATTTTCAGTCTTTTTTAAATTTGTTTAGCAAAGAATAAAAACCCCAGTGGTGATTAAATACCACCCAAAAGAAAGCTATATCTGTCTCAAAAAAATGCTGAACATTTTGTTTGGGTGCAGTGTTGCATGACCGCGCAATTGTCGTTCAAAGTGCGACAGTGCTGAAAGTTGAAAACTGGCCTGGGCAGGAAGGGGGTAAAAATGCCCGGTAGGCAAGGGGTTAAATAAATTGAGTTTTTTGGGAATACACTATGTTAGTTTATCTTTCTACATATGCAAACCGGTGATTGGTCTATACCAGCGAACAGAGTACCCCATCAGGAAGACAATGCCCATATCCCGGGGTCAAAAGGGCTAAAGGCGCAATCAGACTGAAGTGTAGTAGGTCTTACATATCAGGTGACGGTATCTCACAAATTGGTGTTATCATAAGTACCAGTTTTGTGCGCTCGGATGGGACTGATCAAAATATGTGGATATTGAGAAGGACTTTTACATATGAGGATTATATTATTATGGATGTAACATTGTCTCAAATTTTTACTGCTTATTGGCTACACATGAGGAGTATATATGTGGTGTGATCATACTGGAACAAAGCAACAGCATATTTGTTTGTGCTCAGCGCATATTATTGTTCATTTTATTAATTGCAGGTGATTGCGCAAAGGTTTTTATATTTACTTTAATCTGATCTTAATGAATCGCACCCCCCTTCTCCCTATTCAGAATCAGTATCCAAAGAACACGGTAAAACAAACAGCTACAGTATATCTTACAGAGCTGAAGACAGTAGGAATCTGCAACAAAATGTGTACAAATCCCTACAATGTACATTGATCACCCAGAAAGGATTGTTTTTCTCTCACCAAATTTGGAGTTATTCCTTAAGACAGGAAGTGTTACTAGACAGACCACCGGGCAAAAATAAAGGGAAAAAAACCTAAGAACCCTAAAAAAAGAAAATGAATGCGGCTTCCACATTAAGAGGAATGGTAAGGTAATATATTTTTGGTTTTGGGTTTAATACTGCTTTAACACCTTCCCGCCCGGTCTATAGCAGATTGATGGCCATCATATGATGCTCACACACGGCCGCGGGGGCTGCGCAGCGGTGCAATCTATCACTGGCTGTGTCCATGGGACACAGCCGATGACATATCACTACATTGGCCTGTTGCCAGTGTCATGGGACCACTGTGACCAATCACAGCAGATCACATGTCAGTTGTATACAATGGATGGCTTCCTGTCATGCCATCCATTGCATACAATTATGTTGTTAGCTGTGACTGGTGCAGGCAGCCACATGATACAGACAGGGCCAATCACAGCCCATCTGTATCATGTGATCAGCTTTGCCCAATCACAGCTAATCACAACAAAAGACTGAATGAATCAGTTTGATTCAGTAACAATGATTGCAAATATCAATGAAACACATTGGTATTAGCAATCATAATGTGTTAAAAAAAAAATCATAATCACTTGCCCAGAGTAGTTCAATGTTACTATGGTAACATTGTATTGCTTTGGTCACAGTGTGCTGAAAAATAAAATAGTAAAAAAAAAAGAAAAAAATATAATAAAAAAAATAGAAACATTTGAAAAAAAAATACAAATTCAATTATTATTAGTTTCACCAAAGAAATATAGTAAAATACATTATGACCTAAATTTATGAAGAAATGTGATTTATTTGCAAAATTTTAGAACAGAAACAAAGAAAATTGCGTTTTTTCAAAAGATTCAGGTGTTTTTTTATTAATTTAGCAAAAAATAAAAAACTCAGTGGTGATTAAATACCACTAAAAGAAAGCTCTATATGTGTGAAAAAAATGATAACAATTTCATATGGGTACAGTGTTGCATGACCGCGCAATTGTTATTCAAAGTACGACATCGCAGAACGCTGAAAATTGGCCTGGGCGGGAAGGGGGTATAAGTGCCTGCTACTGAAATGGTTAAGGACTGGTAAGCTGCAATATGTAACATTTTTGTTTTTGGGCTAGGATACAATTGATATGGACAACAGAAACATATTCTTATAGCACCTATTTCATATATCATCACCATATGGTTAAAGGATACATTTACAGATAAATGTGTTTTTTTTAGCATTGAACTAAATGAGCCAACAGCACTCGATCAATCAAAAATGCTTCCCATCATTATGATCTCAAGCATGAGTGGTTAAGGTGCATTATAACAATACACTGGAAAAATACCATTTACTTAGATGGGGTAGCCCAGGGGGCGATGATCTGTGTCAGTTAAACGTAAAGTATAACTAAAGGCAAAACTTTTTTTTTAGTTTTGGATGGAGTGCATGAGGATTAGGACACCTGTCAGTTTTTACTTCTGCCTGTGCCCCCATTAAAGAGATTCACCCTCTCTATTTGTCCTGCTTACAATTATTATTGAAAGTAAAATAAAATTCCACATTTTGGGTTGTCCCCAGAAAAGTAATAGAGGGGAAATCTTCCAATAGGTACACTAGATCTGGTGACCTGGGGGTCCCCAAGGAATTCCCTTAATTTGCAGGGATTTCCTCTCACTTTCTGTTTTGGCAATGGGACAGGTAGTGAAGGGAAATCTCCACAATGGGACACAAAAAAAAAAAAAAAATCAGAGAGGGGTTATAACCCTCCCTTACTCTATCCAGAATGAAAATAAAAATGTTGCCTATAGTTCTACTTTAACCCAGCCTTGAGTGACAAACTTCCTAGGCTGGAGTGGTAAAATAAATTGTTTAGTCTTTATTTTAGTATTAAATCAGAGATTGATTGATTTGGTGACCCAAGCCAGGATGATTGATTGACAGCCACTCATACTAACATGAGTGAGGCTTAACAGAAAAATCCGTTACTGTGACTGCCTTAGCATTCTGAGAGATGGTGTTGTTGGTGTAAATCCACTGCTGTAATGACTAAGCATGTCCAGAACAAATTCTCAATTTAACAGCGGCTTAGAGTCTTCTGTCTCTGAATCTTTGAGCACCATTGATTTAAGAGCAAAGCTTGGCTGCTCTAACCTTAGCGTGGTCCATTCTAAGAAGTGAGCTTCAAAGAAAAAAAGTATTACTTGGGAAATAATGATGTTGTGCATCGAAAAAGAACAATGGAAAGGATTGGTTCCAGGCCACAAAAACACCATCTAGTAATCATTCAGCAGCGGGCCTGTCTCCCTCGTCTGCCATTCCAGAAATAAGTTACAATTTACCATCCAATTTTTTTTTTAACCTCCCTGGCGGTATGATTATTTCAGATTTTTGGTGCTGAATGCGGTACCATTATTTTGCATGGAAATATGTATTTTTTTTATTGTAGGCTGTAATATTTAGGAATAACTCACTGAAATCTGTCCGAACAAGAGTCTATTAAACATCCCGGGTATGATAAAAATTTGAAAACACGAAATCATAAATTATAATTTAATAAATAATCATAAAAAATATTAATATAATAATAATATATTTCATTCAATAATATAATCAAACCAAAAACACTGAAATTTGAAATATAGCGCCAAGTTCGCACATCACTGAGCAAAGTCGCAAAATTGTTTTCAGTGTCTGATGACGAATTTCCCCACGAATCATTATCACTCAATTCTGCAAGTGGTTCTAATTTACTATCGCTGTTCTCTAGCTGATCTAAACCCGCTTTTGACCTAAAGGGACACTTTTTGGACGCCATGGACTTTTCTAAGTTTCCAGGCAGAAAGAATAGTCAAAATGCAGACAGGGGACAGAACAGAGCACTCGGGACAAAATGTATGTGAAATGGTTTGAAACAGCAATGTTTTACTATGTAAAATTATTTTGAAAAAAAATGACATTTGTTTTAAATTTTCAAATTTACCGCCGCCGGCGGCGCCCGTACGTCCCGACGTCAGAGGGACTGGAACACAGGAGCCGGATGCTGGCATCAGCCGGAAGAGATGGCCGGGGACGCTGCAGGGGACACATCGCGGGAGCGAAGGACAAGGTAAGTGCTGCAGGGGCTCCCTATGCAGCACCGCATGGTAAGCCCGAGTGTAGCTCGGGGTTACCGCTTTTGGTACTAACATTTTACCCCGAGCTACACCGTTAGGGAGGTTAATCCAATTTTTATATTGGATAAAAATTGATATTAATGCAGCTTTTGACATAAACTAAAATGTGTCCTTTCCAGAAGCAAACGGCAAAAGAATTAATATTAAGGCCCCATGTACACTGCTGCTCCAAAACGTGAGTTTAGAAGCTTTTGATTTTTTTTGCCAAAGCCCCTGAAATCAACTTAATAAAAGCCTGTGTGTCCATGTACACATAGGCTTTTACCAGAGTTTACGAGCAGCAGTGTTTAGGGGTAGTTAAACGTTCCTCTCCTGAACGCAGAAAAATGTTTTGGATAAAAAATGCTAAACGCTGGAAAAACGCGTGTAAACTCTAGCGCTTGGGCATTTATTCATGTCAATGGAAAATACTAGCCAATCAAATGAATAAACGTCCAAGAGCTAAATGCTAAAGTTTTTTTCTGCTGCCAGGAGAGCTAAACGTCTAGGGGAGTTCTTGTGTACAGATGAACACTCTATTACCAACAAAGAGAACTGGAAGAATGCAGGAGATTGTTAGCAAATTGGCCAATAGGAACCCTACGGTTATTTTACTGCCCACACCTGGCCAGTATTACTGCATGGTTCCTAGGGGGCGGGTTAGAGTTAGGATCTTACAGACACCGAAAAACATGAACCACCTAACTGGAAAAAAAAACGAATGGGGCTTTGTGAGGCACCATACCAAAAATGAAAATATACTCAAAAATGTAAAAAATAAAACTTT